TAGTGCAGAAGGCCAACGGAGGCCTGGAGGGGAACGTCAAGCAGATGTGTGAAGGGATTAGTGGAATGGTACGAAAGACCGCACAAGGGGGGGAGCAGTGCATTTGGGACGAAGTAGTGCAGAAGGCCAACGCAGGCCTGGAGGGGAACGTCAAGCAGATGTGGGAAGGGCTACGTGGAATAGTAAAAAAGACCGCACCAGGGAGGGATACAGGGGTCGCAACTTTGCGAGGTGTGAACGGTGGATTAGTCAGCAGTGGGAAGGGAAAAAGGGAAGTTCTAGCAGGACACTACAAGAGACTTGGAGTGCCCTCGGAGAATGAAGCTTTTGACCAAGTGTTTAAGAAGGAGGTGGACGCATGGGCCCAAAAAGAAGAAGAGACATCGAAGGCAGACGTTGGGAACGTAGAACTAGAAAAGGAGTTCACTGAGGACGAGGTTGAGGCGTGTGTGAACAAGCTGAAGTGCCACAAAGCAGCAGGAGCGGATGGGATAGTCAACGAGTTCATGAAGTTTGGGGGGAAGGGGATGATCCAGCTGATGGTACTGCTGTACAATTGGGTGTGGAAAAACGAGTATACGCCAAGTAGATGGGGGGACGGAGTAGTTGTGAACTTTAAGAATGGAGACAAGACTGACCCAGGAAGCTACAGGGGGATCACACTGTCGAACACAGTAGGAAAAATGTTCTGTAAGCTGCTGAACGATAGAATAGTGCGAGTATTGGAGAAGAAACAAATAGCGTCAGTGACGGCCAGGCAGGTTTCTGGAAGAAGAGGGGGTGCGTAGACCACGTACTCACGGTAGGGAGGACGTACTGCTTCTTCCTGGACGCGAAAAAGGCATATGATACCGTGTGGAGAAACGGGCTGTGGAAACAACCGTCCAAGTACGGGATCAAGGGGAAAATGTGGAGAGTGCTGAAGAAGATGACAGAGTGTACGAAAAGCGCGGTCGTTCTAGACGGAGAACTGTCTATATTCTTCGACATTGAGCAGGGGGTCCCACAAGGTTGCACGCTGTCCCCAACATTGTTCCAGGTGTTCATCAACGATCTGTTGGAAGTCGTAGAGGCAGTCCGGAAGGGAGTAAAAGTAGGGGACACGGAAACGTCGGTGTCAGGAATGCTGTTTGCGGATGGGTTCGCCGGTATGTCGGACACCCCTGAGGGACTGCAACTGAAAATTGACCCAGCGAAGAAGTTCACTGGTAGGTGGAGATTGTCTGCCAACGTTAGGAAGAGTGCCGTCATGGTATGCAACGAGAACAAGGAGGAACCAGTAGAACATAGATGGAAGTGGGGGATCGAGGAGATTGCAGTAGTGGACCAGTACACATACCTTGGAGTAGAGATCGCAAAAGACTGCTCGTGGAATGCACACATGTCCAAGGTAGCGGAAAAGGGCAAAGCACGAGCAGGGAAGCTGCACCCAATACTCGCAAACCGCCACCTCGATACACGCATAAAATTGACGGTTTTGAAGAGCATAATCGAACCGCCGCTAGAGTACGCCGGAAAAGTATGGGAATGAAGTAAGGAGGTAGTGGAAGAAGTCGAGGCGGCGCAGATGAAAGCAGCGAAAATCATCCTAGGATGCTTCAAGCGCACACGTAATGCAGCCGTCATGGCATAGNCAACCCACGGAATAGGTCAAGGTTGTAGAGGACGTGTGGAAGGGGCTCGACATGGACGAAGATAAAACGCTGGAAACGGAGGGTCTAAAGGGGTTCAAGGAGAAGATATCTATAGCTTGTGCCGAGAGAGAAGCACAGAATCTGAGGAAAGAATCCAAGGATAAGGAGGGTCTACAAGTGTACGGATTGTTGAAGGAAGGAATAGGGTTCAAGGATTACCTACATGGACCAATGGATGCAGGAACAAAGCTGAAGGTCAAATTCACGACCGGGGATATAGGCCTTCGAGAACGTCGACGAAGACATGGACGGTGGACGACGAAGACGACGAGTGTCAAATGTGATTGCGGCTTCGAATGCGAAGACCGTGTTCATGTAGTCGCGGAATGTCCGTTGTACAAGAAGGAGAGGGAAGTGTACGTGACTGAGCTGGGAAAAATAGATGGAACGTACAGGGAGATGTTTGAGGCATGGAATAGAGAGGAAAGGACGGTAGCTGTACTGGGGCATAGGAGGTGGGTTGAAAAGGCGGGAAGGGATATCGTTAGGATAGACAAACTAGGGAAGACGTTTTTGGGGCACCTTTGGCAAAGTAG